GCTTTAAAATTTTTTAGTTCAGGCCAGGCTTGGTGGCTCATGCCTGTAATCCTAGCACGCTGGGAGGCCAAGGCAGGAGGATTGTTTAAATCCAGGAGTATCGTTTGAGTGCGGGAGTTCCAGACCAGCCTGAGCAAGAGTGAGACCCCGTCTCTATTAAAAATAGAAATAGGCCGGGCGCGGTGGCTCATGCCTGTAATCCTAGCTCTCTGGGAGGCCGAGTCAGGCGGATTGCTCAAGGTCAGGAGTTCAAAACCAGCCTGAGCAAGAGTGAGACCCCATCTCTACTATAAATAGAAAGAAATTAATTGGCCAACTGATATATATATATATATATAAAATTAGCCGGGCATGGTGGTGCATGCCTGTAGTCCCAGTTATTTGGGAGGCTGAGGCAGGAAGATTGCTTGAGTCCAGGAGTTTGAGGTTGCTGTGAGGTAGGCTGACGCCATGGCACTCTACCCTGGATAAAGAGTGAGACTGTCTCAAAAAAAAAGGACAACAACAACAACAAATCATTTTTTTTAGTTCAAAACCAAAGTTTGGAAGATAGAAGAGGTGCTAGAATCTTATGATTAAATAACAAAGCCCTGACCAAAGGAATCAGAAACAGAGGCTGGGCGTGATAGTTAACACCTGTAATCCTAGCACTTTGGGAGGCTGAAGCAGCAGGCTCTTTTGTAGTCAAGGAATTTGAGATCAGCCTGAGCAATGTAGCAAGACCCCATGTATACAAAAAAATGGAAAAACTAGCCAGGTGTGGCACATACCTACAGTCCCAGCACTCTACTTGGGAGGCTGAGGCAGGAGTAAGACCTATGGCACTACCTTAGTAAACTGACCTGTTCTCACTGCCTAGAATAAACAGTGTTCATGTTACAATAGCCCCTCTTATAGTCAATTTCAGTTACCTGTGGTCCAAAAATATTAGATGGAAAATTTCAGGAAGAAACAATTCATGGCAAGACACAGTGGCTCATGCTGGTAATCCTAGCATTCTGGGAGGCCGAGGTGGGTAGATTGTTTGAGCTCAGGAGTCCAAGACCAGCATGAGCGAGAAAGACCTATCTCTACTAAAAACAGAATAATTAGCAGGGCCTCGTGGCATGTGTCTGTGGTCCTAGCTATTTGGGAGGCTGAGGCAGGAGGATTGCTTGAGCCCAGTAGTTGGAGGTTGCAGTGAGCTATGATGATGCCACTGCACTCTACCCAGGCGACAGAGCAACACTCTGTCTCACAAAAAAACAAAAAACAAGAGAAAAAAAAATTAGTAAGTTTCAAATGGTGTGAGCAATATTCTGGGTGGCATAATGAAATCTTGTGCCTTCATGAACCATCCCTTTGTCCAGTGTACCCATGCTGTATACACTATCTGCCTGTTAAGTACTTAGCAGCCATCTTGGTTATCAGATGGAAAAAATGTAGTGTGTATATAGATACATTATAAGGTTCAGTACTAGCCTCAGTTTCAGGCATCCATTAGTGGTATTGTAATATATCCCTACTAGGATGGGGGGGGAACTACAGTAATTGGAAGCATTTCACTTTGCTTTCTGTGAGATTATTTCAAAAAGCTAAAAAAATAGAGCTGGACATCAGTGTTTCAATATGAGAAGATCTTCATTACAGAAAGTAAGAAAATGTAGATTTTCCAAAAAGCTATTCCATAACATCTGAATTACTGCAAATTATTAAGACAAGGCCAATGTAACCATGAACTGGTCAAAAGAGTTTATAATCAAGACAGGTTTTCTTTTCTTTTTCCTTCCTTTGTGGAATAACGTAAACCTATTACTTCTAAAACTTTCCATTATTATTTTATGGCACGATCTACCCAGCACTTGAAAAATAATTAGTTATTTTCTGAGCAAAAAGTAGTAATTTTAAAACAGTAAAAGATTTCTTTTGATATATACTAGAAAGGCAAAACATTTTGGTAATTCCTATGGCGTTTAGAGTAAATCCTCTCAATCACTGTGAGGTTTAAGAAAGTTGAACTCCTTAAATTACTAGTGACTTCTGACAAGGAGTATTTCAGAGTCATCAAATTGTGAAGTGATAAATACGGGACTACACAGTTATTTATGAAAGCTAGACCTCAATCCTTTTCACCAAGTTTTTTTTTTTTTTGAGACAGAGTCTCACTCTGTTGCCGGGGCTAGAGTGCTGCAGCGTCAGCCTAGCTCGTAGCAACCTCTAACTTCTAGGCTCAAGCGATCCTTCCGCCTCAATTTCCTGAGTTGCTGGGACTACAGGCATGCACCACCATGCCTGGCTTATTTTTTCTGTATATTTTTGGTTGGCCAATTAATTTGTTTCTACTTTTAGTAGAGACGGGGGTCTCCCTCTTGCTCAGGCTGGTTTCGAACTCCTGACCTTGAGAGATCTGCCTGCCTCCGCCTCCCAGAGTGGTAGGATTACAGGCGAGAGCTACCGCACCAGGCCTTGATTAAGTCTTTTGACAAAGGCAAACTTCTTAACAAGAGCCCATTTTCCCGTCTGTAAAACAGCTATAATTCCTGGCTGCCTCATAGATAATTAAAAGTAACACATTTTATAATCTATAAGGTGCTATGCAGATGTAAGATATTTATTAAGAGAAACTAAGGGAAATCAGGATTTTGCATTTAGTAAGGGGAGAGTCTAATTAAATTCCATGTTTTACATTTGGGTAACTCAAAAATTGAGATTTGGAACACTTAAAATTTCTAGTACAGGTTGAACATCCCAATCTGAAAACCCGAAATGCTCCAAAATCGGGAAGTTTTTGAGCTTTTTTCCTTTGATATGATGCTTAAAGGATATGCTCATTGGAGCATTTAGGATTTTGGATGCTCAAATGGTATAATGCAAATATTCCAAAATCCAAAAAAAAATCTGAAATTGAAAACACCTCTGCTCCCAAGGATTTCAGATAAGGGATACTCAACTTGTAAAATTTTTTACATTTATTCACATACTTGTTGGAACATATGTACCAAGCACTATGTTGGGCTTTGGGGAAATTAGGAGTATTACATGGAAATTTCTGAGAAGTGGTGTCTCTGCAGTGTAGAAGAACAATAAAGAAAAAGTTGGTGGGATGGATGGGCCCTAAGGAAACTAAGGAAAAGAGAGCAGTTAGGGTAAAAGCTCAGAGAATCCATGGGGAAGTGTAAGTTCTGATTGGATGGTATACAAGAAGAAAGGGAAGCAGAGTGAAAGTCTTAGTACAGAGACCTGAGACTAGGGTTTGAATCATTTAACTTAATAGTCAGTTTACTTGAATGAACCTCAATTTCTTCAGCTATAAAGAATGGGCCAGTAATGTTGGCAGGGACTAAATGGAACTCTGTTCAATCAAGTGCCTAAAACACTGCTTGAGTGGGAAACATTTCAAATTCTAGTCTTCCAAGGTATATGAGCATATAGCATATAGTTAAAAGAGTTAATGTTCTGCAGCTCTTCACTGTTCAACTCTGGACAAGTCTAACTCTCCAAACTTCAGAGGAAAAGGAAGATGGGAATAATATCTACCTCACAGATTTGCTGTAAGACTTACTAAATAAACAAATCTTGTTGTCAACGCCTGGCATGTAGCAAAAACCCAACAAACATTAGCGTCTAGAATCGCTATTAAAGGTCCATAAACCTTTATCTGCCATTCTCAATCTAGAAACATGAAAATGAAAGACACTTTTCCAGGTTTGGCACAACTTATTTAGTGGCAAAATCTGACCTGAAGCTATTTATAATTTCTATTAATCCCCACGTAGAAAGAATATTCGCATCTACTGCTGTAAAAATATTAATGTTGATTTACAGGGTGCCTTGACTTTGCTGGGGGGGGTTATGTTGTTATCGCCCATCTATGTAATATATTGCTTTCTTAAAATATAAAGATCCAAATATTTATAAATTCAGGACACAATGGCCACACAGTTTCTGTTAAGCTGGGGACGAGTATTACCCATTCCTCCTGGAGAGAGGAAAAGAACATTCCAATATATGCAACTCAACCCAAAAGTTTCTGAAACAAACTAGCTTTGCACAGTGGTCTCTGAGACACCAGCAGCAAAAATATTTCTATTCTTGCCCAAAGAACACTACTGAACAAAGAACTTGTGAAGTATTTCTGAAGGCTACCTTTGCCTGTAATAAGGGTTCATTTTTAAAACAGGCCTTTACAACCACCAGGTGGTTGTAATGCTAAAATAATTTTTAGCAGTAATGGTCAAAAACATTTTTTTTCGGTAGAGTCTGGTTTGATGCTTAAATATTAGAATCTTTATTAAAGCAGTAATCTTGGTTTTCAAGGTAAAGAGGAAAATGGTTCAGCTATTTATAAGCTATCTTGCATGTGCTCCTAAATCCTAAAATAATAGACTATTACAGAACTCAGCACTTTTCATAGTTTGTCCTGAGTATTCGCTTAATATATTTGTGAGCAATTCCTCTGCCAAATAACAACCAGAACGTACGTCACACTGCGGATTACTTTAAACAAGCGTCAGAGATTCTCGTAGAATATATTCGGGCCTTTCCCTTTTCATTAGAAATTAATGAATAGGTGTAATCGGGGGATCGGGGTCAAGGGGCCCAAGGGCGACACCCCCTACATAAGCAAACGAACAAAGGGAGTCGGGATCAACCGGAGCGAACCGGCCTCTGAGCGGGTCGCGCCCGCCCGGGGACGGGTGGGGGAGGGGCCGGTCCGTTCCCGCCCCGCCCCCCGGCCAGGCCTGACGTCAAGGGCAGAGAAACCCGCCGGGCGCGACGTCAGCGGCCCCCGACGCCTTCTCCCTGGGGGGCGATCGGGAGGCGCTCGGCAGCGCGGAGGAAGATGACCCAGACAACCGCACAGCTCCAGCCCCCAGGGAGGCGACCACGGCCCAAGCAGTGAGGTGACTGGAGACACCTCTGTTACCGCGCCCGCTTTTCGCTTGGCCGCGCCCGCCAGCCCCGCAAGCCCAGCTCCCTGTGCCCTTCCACGACTTCCACTGGCACCGAAGCAGCCTCACCCAGTTAGATCCAAGCCCGCAGCAGGGTCTAGAAGTGGCGATCGGTCCCAGGGACGAGGCGCCGAAGAATCGGGCGCAGGCTGACTGACGGCAGCGGCGGCGGCAGCAGCAGCACCAGCAGCGCGCGGCTCTCCTGGCGCCGGAACAGGAAGCGCCGAGCGCACCGCCTCCGCCCACGCTCCCCTCCCCTCGGCTCGGGCCGCGCGCGCCCCCCGCAGGCCGCCGGCGGTACTGCCCTTGGTGGGCGGGCGGAAGGACTCTGAGAAAACGCCGGTGGCCTGGGATGTTCTGGGCAGCTGGGCGGAAATTCCTAACTTGTTGCCTTGGGCGATGTGAGGGCAGATTGTGGATTCCCATGTTAAGCATTTTTTACATCTAAGCCTTGAAGCAGGTAGGGTTGGATGCAGATTTCAGCCAGTCCCGGGAACCAGACCCCTGGGCCAAAAGTGGGGAGAGGTTCAAGATCAGTGCAGGAAAGGGAGGACTTTTGCAAATGGCTTGACAAATTGGTATTTGCTAAAGGAAATTAATATTTGCTGTCTGTGCAGATATTTCCTGATCAAGACCTCTTTTCCCCACTTTTTTTTGAGAAGCTGGCACTGACCTTTTAGGTTCAGGGGATCCTCCTGCCTTAGCTTCCCGAGTAGCTAGGACTCAAGGCCGACTGCTGTGCCTGGCTTCCTACCTTCGTTTTTTGAGTATCAAGTACCTCCTGTGTCAGGCCCAGATGATTGACCCATGGCCCCAGCAAGCAATGAACCGAACCTTCACTATAATGACGATGTCATGATAATTATATGATGTACAAAATATATACATGTTTTCTATATATAAAAATATATTAAAAGTATGCAGTTAAATTTTGCTTCTTTGTGTAAGCCCTGAGTGGGTCAGTGGGTAGACATTTAACTAGGAACTTCTTTTTTTCTTTCTTTTATTTTTTTTTGAGACAGAGTCTCACTTTGTTGCCCAGGCTAGAGTGAGTGCCCTAGTGTCAGCCTAACTCACAGAAAGTCAAGCTCCTGGGCTCAAGCAATCCTCCTGCCTCAGCCTTGGGAGTAGCTGGGACTACAGGCATGTGCCACCATGCCCGCTAATTTTTTCGATATATAATAGTTGGCCAGTTAATTTCTTTCTATTTGTAGTAGAGACGGGGTCTTGCTCTTGCTCAGGCTGGTTTTGAACTCCTGACCTTGAGCAATCTTCCCAGCTTGGCCTCCCAGAGTACTAGCATTACAGGCGTAAGCCACCACGCCCAGCCTTTTTTTTTTTTCTTAAATGAGACAGTCTCCCTCTTGCTCAGGCTGTTCTTGTACTTCTGAGCTCAAGCAATCATCCTGCCTCGGCCTCCTAGATTGCTAGGATTACAGGAGTGAACCACTGCACCCGGCCTAACTATGAACTTCGTGAAGACATCCCTGGATATGCTCCACAGCACATATAATTCTCATACTGACAAAGGTGCAATAGAGGTACTTCAAATACCTAAACTAGTATTTAAAGGACGTACTTTTGGATACAGAAAATTACACAAGTACTGCCTTGCCCTCATCGAAGGCAATGAATTATCAGCGCTTTGTGCAGCCATATTGAAGCCTGAGGCAACAGGGAGTTAGGTCTTGATTTATAATTTTGATATCTTGTTCATCATAGTATTTTGCATCAATTCCTATTTGAGAATATTGCACAAAAACATTATCTTCCTTATTGAGTCTTTCAATATTTTCCCCCCAGGTAGAGTGCCTTGCTCACTTTACCCTGGTCCTGGCATTGTGTACCAGTAAGGGATAGCCTTGTCAACGGAAAAAAAGACAAACTCTAAAATAATTTTAAAGAGATTCACTCTGAGCTAAATTAGAGGACCATGACCCAGAACCACACCTAAGAAGCTTTCAGCAAGTGGATTCCCTGTGGCTGGGTTATAGATTGGTTTCATACATTTCAGGGAGACAGGGGTTACAGGTAAAGTTATCAATAAGTGGGAGGCATACATTGGTTTGGCGTGAAAAGGTGCTGAAGGTGGGCAGGGGCTTACAGGCTATAGGTGGGTTTAAAGATTCTTTGGCTTGTAATTGGTTAAAGACATGAAGCTTTGTCTAAAGGCTTGGAATGTTTCAAGGTAAGGAGCAGTTTATCAGAGAAGCCACGGGACATAGATTTGTTGTGTAAATTGAGGACCTGCAGGTTTGTCTTAAATACCCTTAGGCCTGCTACAGGGTTACAAAGGATATCCCTAAGAAGGGAAGGGTGCATGATAAGGCCAGTCAGACCTCCCTCCTCCAGGCAGGCAATTTAGCTTTAGGATATTCCTTTGGCCACAAGGGGGTCCATTTAGTCAGCGGGGGTGGGGGGAGTGGTGAGCCTTAAAATTTTATTTTAGTTCATAGCCTCAAGCTTTTCCCTGTCTGCAACCAGCCAATAACGGAGCATGGTAGGGGTTCTAGATCAGGCCATCCCTACCCCATGTGGACTTGCCTACAGACAACCTTTGTTTGGGAACTAACGGCTAATCTAGACATTTCCCAGAACAGCACTGCAGTCTGAAGCCTGCCCTACTCAATCTCTTGTACATCTAATCACATCTTGGCACTTCCTTCTGGAAGACCCAAACTGATAACACTGAAAACCAAAAGGAATGTACCATAAATTAGAACATTAGAAATTCCCGTGAAGGAATATAGATTTTTTCAACTCCTGTTTTTCAGATTCTAAGTTCAATGTGTGAGGTAAGGACATGTTTCTAAAACAAAACACAATGCCTTTGAATTTTTTATATATTAAGTTTTAATTAAGAACAAATGAAAATTTATTTAGATCAATTTACTTGAACTCACATCCAAGAAGAAACATTCAGCTTCAGGATTAGAAATAAAAGTGGAAATAGTCTACTTCTTTTGGGGTAAGGGATAGATCATACAAGCCTGAATAAGAGCCTGAATAACTTTGCGAAGTTATGAACTCTGTATATTCAAGTATATATCAGCTTTCTTCTTGGCTTATACAGAATTTATCCAATCCTAGCAAAGTCAGCATAATTTGAGTAAACTTTGAGTTTTACACCATGGCTCTCATGTCTGAAAGCTTAGATTTGATTATAACCATGGCAAACGTGATTATCTTTATTTCCTGCAAATGTAATCAACTTTAAAAATAAGTTAGGCAAACATCAATTTTACATAGACCATCACATGAAGGGTAGGAGGAAATTGAAATTGTTCATCTAATTGCAGAATCTAAGTCATAAATTCAAATTGTACTGTTATCTCTACTGTTAAATCAAGCCAAGAAAGTCTATTACAGACTTAAGGAAGTGAATGTTATTCTGCAGGGTCCACTGAGGAGACATTCTGAAAACCTATCATCACATTAATACTTAACGGCTGTATAGCAATTATTTTCAAGTATACTCTAAGGGTCATCTCTTATTGAAGAATTAACAGTCAGGAAGTCAGGTGACAAGTATTAACACCTACATTTTATAGGACATGAAGGCAAAGGAGGATTTAGAAAATAAATTAAAAATAGACTTTGGCTTTAATTGAAATAGGATTCATGTGTCCTAAGTCCCTTTCTATTGGGTTATATCATTATTATTATTTTTTTATTTGAGACAGACTCTCACTTTGTTGCCCAGGCTAGAGTGAGTGCCGTGGTGTCAGTCTTGCTCACAGCAACCTCAATCTCCTGGGCTCAAGCGAACCTACTGCCTCAGCCTCCCAAGTAGCTGGGACTACAAGCATGCACCACTATGCCCGGCTAATCTTTTGTATACATATATTTTAGTTGGTCAATTAATGTCTTTCCACTTTTTTTTAGTAGAGACGGGGTCTCACTCAGGCTGGTTTCAAACTCCTGACCTTGAGCAATCCGCCCATTTAAGCCTCCCAGAGTGTTAGGAGTACAGGCATGAGCTGCTGCACCCCGCCTGGGTTATATCATTAATCTACATTTCTACTTACAAGCCAATCGATTTTAAAAAGTTACCTTCACTTTGTATCCAACATCTTAATGCATTAAAATATCAGTGGATTCTTGTAGCATTGCTCACTTCTGATTGTTAAAACAAAAATTGTAAAGTAGAAACAATAATGTGATTTAAAATCTTCTATTCATTTGGGCATTAAGTTACCTAACATTACACAGGCTATTTTACATTTAAACATTGTTTTCCTTGTGTTATCTCCAGAAATGTCTTATAATTATGTAACTCTACTTTCCAGTGAAATTTACTCTACCAAAATCAATATATAAGCTGTTTATTGGATTCTGGTTATAGCTAAAATGACAAGAAATATTTTTAATGAAAAGTAAGAGTATGTTTATAAAGAATTGGATCTCAAGGTTTTTGTTTCATAGGAAGGAAGCTCTCTATTACATGGATCTATAAAATGATCCAAACTTCAGAGACAGGAAGCTGATAACTTGATCTATCTTCTTAATGGTTTTGACTCATGAATAAATGATAATGGTTTATGTGTTTTTCTTATAAAAAGAAATAGAAATTGTATAATGAGTCCTATTTGCCACATTTGTTCTACTTTTCAAAGGATTTCTAATTACAACGTTCTTTATATTATTTATAATAAATAATAAGACAAAACTTTAACTGAAAGCCATTCTTTGACCACAGTTGGCCATTAGCTGAAATTCAGGAAAGAACATAGGTTTGATCACCAAATCAATAAATCTAGCCACAGGCTGACTAAAAGCTTCCTTTAATCTTCTTCCTATTAGGTCTTCCTAAATTAAACCATTCCCTTTATGAATTATTTAAGTGAATGGCATGGTTATATAGAAAGATCACATATGACTCTTGATACAAAAATGTCCAAGGAACCTAAAAAAAAAAAAATTCATTCAGCATATCTCAGAAATTATGGTATGAATCAAGATGCTGAAGGTTTAAAAAAAATGGGGAAGGGTATGTCCTGAAAAGCTTCAAAGAAAAATAGAAAAGTCAAGTTTATTTCCTGATTAGTGCAGGCCGATTCCCAAAGCACAGTTAAGTGTCTGGTCCAGACTTGCTATTAGCGATTAAGTAGTTCCCTTTCATTGTCAAGGCTTTTCCCTGTGGTAATGCCTAAATTCTTAATTTTAATATTTCATCTTGTTTCTTTTAGCTCCATCCTCTCTCAACAATAAGCTCTACACATTTCCACCATGCTGAATGCTTTCTCAACTCTGGAATTTGCACTTTTCAAATGTTCCCAATGTCCAACTTAGAATTACAAAACTCAAACAGTATTTAAATATATTTATATCTCCCCACACTGTCCCCTCAAAACTTACTCATTTTAATTATAGTCCAATAAATACATTTTTATGAGTTAATTTCTGAATACTGGATGTTCTTCCAAATATATCCTCATAAAAACAGAGAAAGGGGATAACCTTTCTAAATTCCAATCCCTTAATGTTTAAAAAAATTAATCATTACTTTCTTTCCCCCTTCATGGTAAACTATTCCCTCCTCAAGTCTTTAAATTTCTACTTTCAAATTTCTTTTCATTGTAACAAATACCAAAGGAAAAATACAAATCATTTCATAGTAAATGAGTCTCTTTCCTGCACTCATTTATTAGATTATCTACTTCAAGGCTACATATATGGCAGTATTTTGAAAGTGTTAACAGCTGTTAAAACCTTGAAGTTGAAAAAATAAAAAAGCCAGAGAAAATATATCACAAGCAATTAGTCTGAATTATATGAAAAGCTACTTAGATCTCAACTTTCATATAAACACTAATTTTTATTACTATAAAAGACAACATAATTATATTTCCTTTTTCTTTATAAAACTATACTTTAACAGAATATTCATAAGCTAGTCATCCTTACGTTTTTCTGTACTGATAAAAAGTTGCTTTTAAAAGAAAAATATTTAAAATAATTGTTTCACAGAAACAGAAAGTCTTATCAAATTCTGATAAAAAAACTATAATCATGGGTAGACTCTTACCACACTATTAATTTTTTCATCAAAGATGGATATTTACGAAGTGGTATATCGGTTAGTAAGCTTCTCAGTGATCTACAAAAGTGCCACAATAAAGATGAGGTAGTATGAGACACTTCTACCTTTGTAAAATGTAAATATCACCTTTAGAAGAGAATTTATCCTGACATTGGTGTTGTGATATCCTGAGCCTCATCACTATTAGAGAGGTGCTATTTTTGTGGCTACCCCTCAATGAGACCAAGACAATCTTGAGATCACTGAGAAAAGAAAATACTAGAAGATAATGGTAACAGGGATTTTCCTGATTTAATTTTGTGATAATTGCTAAAAATTTATTTTAAAGCTATTGAAAAACCCATCTTTGAGTTAACAGAACTCCAAGATAGGGAAATGCTTCTTCACATAAAAGCAATAATTAAGAAATATTTGTTATAACTTGGAAATTTATGAGTCAAATTTCTTTCAATCTAAGTAGAAGCTGTTTCCTAATACAGCTAAACTAGCATTAAGAAATCAATTACTAGATTAAAAATGCCAATTTGTACAAAGGGGCAGACAGCTCATCAGAAGAGAAATTGAGCGATCTGTATAGATTTTTACTATTATTCATTGACTCTTTTAGAAAAGAAATTAGATAGGATACCACTCCATTTATCTTTACTAATTACATTGGACTAATGTTTCTAAAAATGCTGCCCCATTCTTGGGATAGTAAATTTAAAATATTAGCCATTTCGTCCAGTACTGTTCTATATGGCCTAAGCCATGTAGCTGTAAAAAAGGCTTTCTTTTTTTGAAGTCAATTCTAATGATAGGAATAATTATTTAGAACTTGTAGATCAAAAAGAATGTTAAGCTTCCTGAACACTGAATTCCCTGTTTATTTATTCAATCTTTACTCAAGTTCAACTTAAAATAACGAAAAAAGACTTAGGTACTCTTTGGTTACCAGTGGAAATTTGTGGTAACTTATAAATTGTGGAATTTCCCCAAAGTAACAGGCTCTGAGTTTCTATAAAAGGGCTAAATAGAAGAAATAGTTCCTAAGTTAATACAGAAAAAACCTACAGTTGCTTTAGTACTTTAGCAACTATTAGCTACTAATGGTATTATCATTATTTTTAACGCTTCCAATGAGAATGGAACAAAATTTGTTTTGAAGATGGTTTAACTCTTTCAAGTTGAGAAAGACCTATTCAAGAATAACAAATAACTCTGCCACATTATAGAATAATAAATGCACCACCAGAATGTTTTCTTTTGATTCTCACTGATCAGATTAATCAAATTTAGTAATCCTGCTTTATAGTAATATTTCAAATGAAAATATATCAAGTGTGACTTTAAACCATTCTATGACATTTAGCATCCCTATTAGTTAAGACAGAAGTCAATTACATTAATATGGATAGTGAATTACAACAATCAACTTTACTGAAGAATTTTAAAACTCAATGAAAAGGGGGATAGGGAAACTATATTTTATGTATAGAAATACTGATGGCATATATTAACAAAATATTTTACATGTAGGAAAGGATATAAGATAATTTTTTAAAGCATGAAATACAGTATATTCAAATGTGTTGGCAATGCCTATCAAATTTCAAATATGCCAAGAGTATATATAAATTAAGGAAAAGAAATATTTAAGTATACACTCTACATGGTAAAAACAAAAACCAAAGACCTGGTTAAAAATATCTATGAACCTCTAGTGTATAACCTTAAACCATTAGTGTATCATAAAAGAAAAACTGATCTTGAAGTAAAATTTAGGGCAGGCTTATTTTAGACTCCACTGCCTTTGTAGAAAAATGTAAAGTGGAATAATAAGAAAAATATTAAATGAAAATATGTATACGATCATTCCCATGTTCCTACCCTTATCCTAGCATTGTTGTTCTGGTGCATCAATCCTGAGTACTCTAACTTTTGATTTATAATGATATTCCTTCAGATATAATTTCATAGAAGAAGGAATTGGAAGGGCATCAATGCCATCGTAAGTTGTACAGTTACAAATAACTGTTCTGCATATATGCTGCAGGGAAAAGGGGAAAGTCCGAATTAAAGGAGTGGATAGAAGTGGTTCGAAGAACATACAAGCGCTCGGGTCCTTATAATGTTCTAGAAGCCCAGTAATATCAGGAGAATGGAAGACACAAGGATCATGTGCATCAAAACTAAAGTTGTGATTCCACTGTTCAATTCTAGCATGAAGAGAACGACTGTAGCGTCTAAAACTAACAGAGAATAAATAGTCTTCCTGTGCTGAGTCTCGAAGTAAAAAAGTACCCTCTGGTTTTCCTTCTAGTAGAGCTTCAGCTGCATATTTATCCATAACTCCCCAGTAACATGGGTTGTTATTGATCTGAAGGAGGTCTGGTACAAGACAGTGGACATAATCAATCTGGGTGTGGTACTTAGGAGGTGTTTCCAACTGCAGGATTTCATCATCTAATTCCCATTTGGGTTTGTTTCTTTTTCTGGAACTTGTGCAAAGCGTTATAATTTCATCATCTGAATCCATATCACTGTCTTCTATACTGTTATTTGAAACTAGGTTCATCACAGAGCCAGGCATAGGACCTCTACACGAAGCATTGTTGGTGGTTATGACACAAGGCTGAACACTGGTATGTGAGAAACAGTTTATATCTTCTTCCATGTTTCTTCTTTGTTTTAGCTGACCATCTCTCAATTCACTCTGAGACAAGTCTGTGCTTACCCATTCATCTGACTTGGGATTTATAGGAGCAGTGTGCCGTTTAATAAAATGCCACCTAAAGGCTAAATCTGATCGAGGTGGGAAAGGACACTTATCTAACATGAGTTCACTGATATGAATTTTTCTTTTAGATGGAAGCCCTGAAGAGTGCCGACTACTACAATTCTTTATGGGAAAACACTGCCCCACAGCATCTTGCAGCTTCTGTTTAAGAGATCGACCTAAAAATCTATGCCCACAGGAATGATCTAAGTCCAACTCGATAGATGAACAGCTGTGCTTCCTTTCTTGGCTCCTTAAAGAACCTTCAGTTTTCTCTATAGTATTTACTGTTTCAGCATCTGAACAACTCTCACTCTTTTTTGACCAAGATAACTTCTTTCCACTCCACACATAACCGTCCCTTCTGTCAGCACTTCTACTCCGATTAGTTTTGGGCCTTACATCTACATTTTTACTATTATTTTCATTATTTTCTGCCATTTTAACAAATTGTCCACAAATTCCAATGTTATAAATACTTCTTTTTCAGTTTTTCCAGCAGGAAGTTTCTTCTGGACACTTTCGGGATGTATCTAAGGGGAAAAAAAAGTCATTAACCATTTGTCATCCACCTTGTATAGTTATTATATATATATTTTAAGTCCCAATTAGACACAAGATGAAAAAGCATAACTAGTACATGAAAAAAATAAGAGTTTGTTGGATATGTTGGAAGGCAGTCCCAAGATATTTTGTTCCCACTTAAACTGTTTTACCATATATTAATAGTTTCATAGTGTCATAAAGAGTCTGAGTTTCTTTCCCATAACTCATTTTCAGTGTGGATCAGAAAAAGACAAGCCTCTTGTATCCACCATAATATATGCTTAACTGTTAATAATTCTTAATCTTGAAGTATATGTTATGCCCATTTCTCCACACTTTTCTTATTTCACAGCAGATCAGTGAATTTTTTGTAGGAGACAGTCACAAATCTATCAGCTGGTGTTTGAGATCCACTACCCTATGGTTTCTTCACCTCTCTCTCATTTCCTTTCCTATTGATTAAAATACGAACAATTTTAAGTTGTAAAACTGTAAGAATTTATTAAGTAAACAATCACCACCAATTAGTAGACATACCAACCAAGTATTCTCAATGCAGTGTTGTCAATTCATTTCAATAATGGGTCCAGTTCACTATCAGTCTAGGCAGTAGGCAGTTTTTAGAAAATACGAAATTAGATAAAAATTTGACATTTTATGCACATACTCCCTTGTAGTCTTCTTTTTAATGGAGAAAAGACATGAATTTATTAATGTACACATGGGGAGAACCACAAAGTGATTACCTCAACTAACAATGGGGTTCAAAGGTTTATATAGCATCTTGAGGTTACAAAAAAAATGAGCACTCAGAACATGGCCAAAACCAGGTTATGGTGGTAAATCAGATTACAGTGTTAAGACAGGTTTCAGGGGAGAGAGAAAAGAGGCTTGGATAGCTAAGTCGTTCTTGTTATGTAGATGAAACCTCTCACAGAGAATAGGATGGAGAATATTTCCTTCAGAACTTTAAAGTGGGAGGATCGCTGGAGCCCAGCAGTTCAAGACCAGCCTAAGCAAGAGAGAGATCCCATCTCTACTAAAAAGTAGAAATTTAGGTGGGAATAGTGGCGTGCACCTGTAGTCCCAGCTACTTGGAAGGCTAAAGCAGGAGGATGGCTTGAATCCAGGAGTTTGAGGTTGCAGTGAGCTGTAATGACAACACTGCACTCTAGACCAGGTGACAGGTGAAACACTGTCTCAAAACAAACAAACAAACAAACAAAAAAACCCTGCAAATAGAATGGCATCTCGTTTTTCAGCAACAATAGAACCTAGCTAGAGGTTAGTTTCCTTCCTACCTTAAAGAAGTAACACCAAACTATCAATCAAATATGAGGATAAACTACAGAAATTTTGAGATGTGTAAAGTTTTGACAATTTTACCTCATACTTAATGATGTGCTCTTCTAAAATTAGGATGTAAGCTTTCAAACAAAGACATGCAACACAGAAAACAAGACATTCAATACAGGAGAGAAATGAAATGTGAATTCTAGGGAGGATGAAGAAGGGAAGTCAAGGAGGTGGTGTATCTGGAGATGCTAGAGATCAGTCCATACAAGGTAGATCTTGAGGGAAAAAAATGGAATTGATTTTTAGAAAATTCAACTGAAAAGACAAGAATAAAACTGGAAAAATAATTATGTAATAATTCAATATAGAAAAATTCAAAAATTATACAAGAAAGAAAACAGAACTGAAAAACTACCTGCTTAGCAGTGAATGATATTTACATGTTCATCAAAATTGTGCTATAATTGTACTAAGAGGATGGACAGAGGAAGGAGGATAGAAGTAAATTCTTGTAAATCATAAAAGGAACTCAACAGATGTCTAAAAATTGATGAATCAAGAAAGAGAAGTATGAGCATATTATTTAGAAATATGAAAGTAAATATCAGAAAAACAGAAGATTTGAAAACAGATGCCTTTGGGATGGGGTGAGAGGGGACTGCAGCATTTCTTAGCTTATCTAACTTTTTCAGTTCAATTTAATTTTTTACCCAGGTGTATGTTATCATTTTGATGAACATAAAAATAAGTAAAAACTATCCATAATCCCACCACATCACAATTACCATTTTAATATTCTCAATATCTTTTATATACATATATGGCAAGGGTGCAGGTTTCATAGTGGAGTGCTATCAGGTATTAGAAGCATGATTTGAGTCCAGTTTCTGATTTGTACTAGCCATATGATTTTTTTTGGTCTCACTCCGTTGCCCAGGCTAGAGTGCCGTGGCATCAGCCTAGCTCACAGCAAACTCAAACTCCTGGGCTCAAGCAATCCTGCTGCCTCAGCCTCCCAAGTAGCTGGGACTACGGGCATGCACCACCATGCCTGGCTAATTTTTTCTATATATTTTTCATTGGCCAATTAATTTCCTTCTTTTTTTTTTTTTTTTTAGTAGAGACGGTGCCTGGCTCTTGCTCAGTCTGGTTTCAAACTCCTGACTTTGAGCAATCCTCCTGCCTCGGCCTCCCAGAGAGCTAGGATTATAGGCATGAGCCACCACACCCGGCCACCAGCCATATGACCTTGAAACCTCTGTTCATTCACCTGTAAAATGAAGTACTGATGCTATCTATTTCATTGGGCTACTGGGGATTAAATGAAATAACGCATATAAAGTAGTCTGCTCAGATCCTAAATATATCAAGTACTCAATAAATGTGAACATATACCCTCATTTTAAAAAATAAACAAAACTTAGATAATATTGTTTTGTTAAAGCACTTAACCCAGTTTTTTTTTTTTTTTTTTTTGTGCAATGGGTGTGTGTGTGTGCACCCTCTCTCCCTCTAACTTTCCCAAAGGAAGAGAAGCTGATCAATGCCAATCGGCAATTGGGGAGAACACCAAGAGCTGGCTTCACACTCAGGAGAGAACTCATGGTTTCCGGTGCCCTACATGTTTAGGGAAACATCTATAGTAACGAACTATAGAAATGATCCCTGAAAAGTCTTTACTAAGCCAGTTTTACAGAAATAGTACATATTGAAGAAATCACACAATACCTTTGTCTCTAGCCCAGTGCTAACTAAAAAGTAAACAGATTTTTATGAGCAAATATAATTTTCAGGAGGAAAACTAATGTTTCAAAGTGAAAAAAGATCAGTATGCCAAATACAGCTGAAACTCAACAGACTATGAAGCTATAGAAGAATCTAATGTTTTTCTCCCTGAGAACTAATTTCCACTCTTCTTCTACACAAGTTTATATTCTAACAAAACAGGTTTACTTTGGCAAGGCTTACCAACTTGTATGTAACGGGTACCAACCAAGTGTCTTTGGATTTTAGGTAAATTGTTTTTATATATGCTAATAATGCTGCAGGTGTCCATAAAATAAAGTGAAAAATATCACTGCCTAAGTTGAGTTTTCTACACATTTACCTGTACTTAAAGAGTTAATACAGTGAAAATCTTCTGATTGGTCACTGTTTTATATCTATCCCAGAATTACAATTTTACATAAATTTCCCATAGCTATTCTTTTGCTAGAGGACTGAGTTCATGCCCAAGAAGTCCTAGTTTTATAAAATGTTATGTTCTGCCACATCAATATATAGTCCAGAATGTCCTCTAATGTTGTAGTCTTCAAAGGAGAAAGAAAATTTAACTTCTATTTTGTCTAGAAAGTATAAAAAATTAAAATTATTAATATTGACTATGTGGTTGATGTTACCATCCCTCACTGTCAGATGGTCACCTGCTAATGGTGTGCTTGTTCCTGAGGAAAGAGTGGGAATTCCAAAAAGCTGAAGAGATATGGGAACCCTCTATATTTCTTTATAGACTTTCAGTGTACTGAATTTGTTTGCACATTACTGGAATGGGTTTGTAGATTGTATTATTTTAAACAAGAGAATTGTTACAATATTTTGTAATGAGATATGACCGTGGAAATTTTATAACACATAGGTTTGCTAGTTATGTAAAGGCAAGTAGTTAGATAACAAACGGCTCTCAGAAGCTACTTAGCAAGTACGTATATTTTTAAAAAATACATGCATTTCACCTGTCACTTCATGGCACAGGTAACAACAACTATTGAGAAAGTAACTGCTTAAAAAAACCTTATGTTACCAGCCTGAGCAAGAGCGAGACCCCGTCTCTACTATAAATAGAAAGAAATTAATTGGCCAACTGATATATATATAAAAAATTAGCCAGCATGGTGCGCATGCCTGTAGTCCCAGCTACTCGGGAGGCTGAGGCAGAAGGATCACTGGAGCCAGGAGTTTGAGGTTGCTGTGAGCTAGGCTGACGCCACAGCACTCCACTCTAGCCTGGACAACAAAGCGAGACTCTGTCTCAAAAAAAAAAAACCTTATGTTATGGAGAGATCTTATTAGAAAAAAGATACTCGGAATTTCCTTCACCATTATTTGTTTTTGCTACAAAAAATAAAAAGGCACCATGTATATAAACGCTTACATCTTTACACTTAAATACATGGAAACAGAATCTTCTAATCTCTTCCAGAAGCTTCATTAAACCAAATGGGAACTTGCCTTCTTGAAAATACTTTTATTTTTAAGAAAATAAAAAATTTCAACTATATTGCTCAATAAAAATAACTATTAATTTTTAGTGAAAACAAAATTATTTGTATTATTACAAGA